TGGGCGGAGCATAATCGCATGGGGGCGGGGCCCTGAGAGCTAGAATAGGGGCGGAGAGCGGAGGGGGCGGGGCCACGACTAACTGGGGCGTTGCTTACGACGGGTCCTGAGGACGTGGGCAGGGTCATGGTCGCCTGGGGGCGGGCGCTGAGGGCCACGGGCGGGGCCCGGAGGGGCAGCGGGGTGTCGGCCTGCGGACCTCCTGACATTCCCTGGGTCCTTCTCAAGAATGAACTGGAGCTGGCGGAGACCAAGTGCGCCTTGCAGGAGGAGAAACTGCAGCAGGTGAGGGCAGAAGTGGGTTCTGTTGGAGGGTCGGCTTTCGAGTGTGGGTGGGGAAGGGCGTGTCTCCCCGGAGTCTAACCCAGGTGTCCACACCCAGGGCGCGCTGCAGAAAGCTGAGGCCTGGGCCATATTCCAGGAGCAGACCGTAGTCCTGCAGGTGCGGCCCCACTCGGACGCCAAGGTGCCTCTTGCCTCTCCTCCCCCAGACCTGGGGCGGCAGGTCTCCCAACCCGCCACCAGGACGCCTCCCCGAGGCCTCAGTCCGCACTCTCACCCGCTCCAGGAGGTGCAGGTGAAGGTGATGGAGGCTGCGGAGGAGCTGGACGCCTGGCAGAGTGGCCGGGAACCGTAAGGGAGTTGGGCCTGCGGGCGCGGCGGGGCACTGTGGGGCCGGGCCGGGCTCCCACCTGCATGCCTGTCCCCGCAGGTGTGACGGACAGCTTCGCGGAGTGCAGTATAGCACCGAGTCGCTCATGGAGGAGATGGCCAGGGCGGACCGAGTGAGCGCCTGCGCGGGTCCGGGCGGGGCGGGCTGGAGCGGGACACCCCTCCCCATCCCGGCGCCGGGCCGCCTCCCCCTGCTCCTGGAAACCCGGCCGGCTCCGCGGGCGCGGAGGTAGCTGGACGAGGCCCCCTCTCTCCGCAGGAGATGCGGCTGTTCGGCGGCCGGTGCGCGCTGGCCATCAGGTGAGCAGGGCGGTGGGCGCGGCCGCGGTCCCCCAGGTACACGTCCGAGTCGCCGCCCACCTGCCCGCCTTTCGCCCCTCAGGCGGTGCGTGCTGGGCGCGCTGCAGGTGCTGCTGACGCTGCCGCTCCTCTTCCTGGGGCTGTCGCTGCTCTGGACTGTGCTGTTGGACCCCGGCACCATCTCCGCGTGGCTCCGGAGCCTCACCTCGGAGACGACGCTGCGCCGCCTGCGCTACACACTGTCCCCGCTGCTGGAGCTGCGCGCTAACGGGCTGCTGCCCACCTAAGTGCAGCGCCCCGCGCCTGGCTCCAGGTGGACTCCAGGGCACCTGACTTTATTTCTGGTGCACTCCTCTCCTGAGAGTGTAGACCAAGGTCGCCTAATAAACTCCTCAAGGGATGAAGCTCATGGGTTCGTCATCTGTCTCCCATGTCCTGTAGGAGCTTGGTTTTTTTTTTTTTTTTGAGACGGAGTCTCGCTCTGTCGCCCAAGCTGGAGTGCAGTGGCGCGATCCTGGCTCACTGCAAGCTCCGCTTCCCGGGTTTACGCCATTCTCCTGCCTCAGCCTCCCGAGTAGCTGGGACTACAGGCACCCGCCACCTCGCCCGGCTAGATTTTTGTATTTTTTAGCAGAGACGGGGTTTCACCGGGTTAGCCAGGATGGTCTCGATCTCCTGACCTCGTGATCCGCCCGCCTCGGCCTCCCAAAGTGCTGGGATTACAGGCGTGAGCCACCGCGCCCGGCAAGAGCTTGGTTTTTTAGCCTCCAAAGATTCCTTCCTTTTTTACAGCTCATGGATTTAGATCCACTCCCCAGTATTATAAACAGCATTTTTAGTTTTTCAGGATATATAATTTGCCATATTGCCAGAAACTTGTACATAGCATTTGACACTTTTTTTGCCAATTTGACAAGCTCCCTTTTTCAAGTATTGTGATTTGAAATTATTTCTACTATATTTGAATTTATTTCTACCATTTGTAATATGTTGATCCTGATTTTTCAATGCTCCCCTTTCCGTTTATTTGGGAAGTCACACTCTGTATTCTGGTATTCTTACTACTTGAGCTCAGCTCATCGCTGTCATCTTCCCCTAAACTGCCTTAAAGCATCTTAATGCTTGTTCTTTCCCTCTGATCACATGTGCTACTTTTTTTTTTTTGTGAGACGGAGTCGCGCTCTGTCGCCTAGGGTGGAGTGCAGTGGCATGATCTCTGCTCACTGCAAGCTCTGCCTCCTGGGTTTACACCATTCTCCTGCCTCAGCCTCCCAAGTAGCTGGGACTACAGGCACCCACCACCACACCCAGCTAATTTTTTGTATTTTTAGTAGAGACGGAGTTTCACTGTGTTAGCCAGGATGGTCTCGATCTCCTGACCTCGTGATCCACCCACCTCGGCCTCCCCAAAGTGCTGTAATTACAGGCATGAGCCACCGTGCCTGGCCAACATTTTTTCCAGATACCTTACTGTTAGTGATTCCTAACTTCCACTGTGGCCAGATAACATACTTTGCATGATTTTAATTCTATCTCATTTACTGAGACTTGTTTTGTGGCCCAGCACAAAGCTTGTAATGAACATTGAGAAGAAAGTACTATTGCTGTTGACAGTGATTTTTTTTTTTTGAGATGGAGTCTTGCTCTGTCGCCAGGCTGGAGTACAGTGGTGTGCGATCTCAGCTCACTCCAACCTCCACCTCCTGGGTTCAAGTGATTCTCCTGCCTCAGCCTCCCAAGTAGCTGGGACTCCAGGTGCATGCTGCCATGCCCAGCTAATTTTTGTATTTTTCACCATGTTGGCCAGGATGGTCTCGACCTCTTGACCTCATGATCCGCCCAGCCTGGCTTCCCACAGTGTTGGGATTATAGGCGTTAGCCACCGTGCCAGGCTGACAAGTGTTTTACAAATACCCAGCAGGTCCAGGTGGGTGACAGGCTTGTTCAGGGCTCCTGTGTTTACTTCCTTGTTGGTAGCTCATCAATTGCTTATTATGAAATGCTCCATAAACAGCCATACACATGATGATTATGGATGGCCAGTCTTTTTTCCATAGATCTATGTCTTCATATGTAAAGTGCTTTGGTTATAATCAGCACATAACTGGGTCTCACTTCTTGTTTATAATCTCTGACTTTTAAATTGGGGTGGTAAGTCTATTATGTTCTCCTTTCCTGCCTTCTTTTGGATTAATATCTTTTAAAAGTTTTTTTTTTTTTTTTTTTTTTTTGAGACAGTCCCGCTCTGTCGCCCAGGCTGGAGTGCAGTGGCGCAATCTCGGCTCACTGCAAACCCCTCCTCCCAGGTTCAAGCAATTCTCCTGCCTCAGCTTCCTGAGTCGCTGGGACTACAGGCCCGTGCCACCACACCCAGCTAATTTTTGTATTTTTAGTAAAGGCGGGGTTTCACCGAGTTAGCCAGGATGGTCTCGATCTCCTGACCTCGTGGATCCGCCTGCCTCGGCCTCCCAAAGTGCTGGGATTACAGGCGTGAGCCACTGCGCCCAGCTTAAAAGTCCTTTTAACTTGTACATTGACTCATATTTTTTATTGAGACAGTCTCACTCTGTCACCCAGGCTGGAGTGCAATGGCGTGATCTTGGCTCACTGCAACCTTCACCTCCCGGGCTCAAGAGATCCTCCCTCCTCAGCTTCCTTAGTAGCTGGGACCTGGGACTACAGGCCTGTACCACCATGCCAGGATAACTGTTGTATTTTTTGTAGAGATGGGGTCTTGCCATGTTGCTCAGGCTGGTCTCAAACTGCTGGATTCCAGCAATCCACTCACCTCAGCCTCCCAAAGTGGTGGGATTACACATGTGAGCCACTGTGCCCAGCCTCTATTTTTATTTGTACAGCTCGGGACTCAACTGTGCTTCCTAAAGCTGAATATTTGTGTTTTTCAACTCTGGAAATCCCATTAAAAGTTGACTGGAGCCGGGCACGGTGGCTCCAATCCCAGCACTTTGGGAGGCCAAGGCGGGCAGATCACCTGAAGCCAGTTCAAGATCAGCCTGGCCAACATGACGAAAGCCCTTCTCCACTAAAAGTATAAAAATTAGCTGGGTGTAGTGGCGGGCAGCTGAAATCCCAGCTACTTAGGAGGCTGAGGTAGGAGAATTGCTTGAACCTGGGAGACAGATTGCAGTGAGCAGAGATTGCACCATGCACTCCAGCCTGGGCGACAGTGAGACTCGTCTTAAAAAAAAGTTGATTGGAGCTTTTCATTCAACTGTTTTTTTTGGACCCTGCTACCCAGGCTGGAGTGCAGTGGCACCGTCACAGCTCACTGCAGCCTTGCTCTTGGGCTCAAGTGATCTTACCTCCTGAGTAGCTGGGGCTACAGGCATGCACCACCACGTGGCTAATTTAAAGTTTTTTTTTGTAGAGACAGGGTCTTGCCATGTTGCTTATGCTGGTCTTGAACTCCTGGGCTCAAGCAATCCTCCTGCTTTGGCCTGCCGAAATGCTGGGATTAGAAGCCACCCCGCTTGGCTTTCCTTTCCTTTCCTTCACACTCCATTATTGGTCATTTCACTGTTCTGATCACTGATTTTCTCTCTTACCTGCTGTTGAGCTGATCTTTTGGAGTTTCTAATTTGTTTCAGGTCTTCAGAAAGACCTATCTGCTTCAGATGCAGGGCCTCGGTAGGTGGGAGTAGATGCTTGCTGGGTCTAGTCACACAAAGATTTTGGAGTTCCAGAGCACAGCACTTGAAAATGAGTAAGAGGGAAAGACTAGAGCAGTGGGAGGATGCTGCGGAGAGCCACAGACAGGCCCCCACGGCAGCCCTGAGGGAGACAGCTTTGGAGCGGGCAGAGAGCACTCAGGAAAAAAACTGTGTGTGCTTTGGTGCACCTGCGCCTTGGTAAGATTGTGGGACTCTCATGCTTGTTAAGCCACAACCTGTGCTCCTGGGCCCCAGCCTGTGAGTGCGGGCAACCCTGGGCCCCCCTCTCTAGGGGCAAATCCAGGAACTGCCCCTTGGCTGAAGGTGGACTTAGGACTTGACACAAAACCTCACAGATTCCAACACAGCACTATTTTGGGTTTTTATTTTGTTGATGTTGGTTAAATCTTGTATCTTTTTTTTATACACAAGAAAATACTTCATGTACCTATGAAATAAGACAGGTAGGGAATATGTCCAGTGCAAACAGAGGACTCACACCTGTGCATAGACAGCACCATCCAATGATTGTCACTGCAGTCCATGGCGTTACCAAGGCTGCGCCACCCACGTGCTGCCCCAGGAGGCGCTACCAGGCTCTTCCGGCCACAGGTCTGTCCTCCACTGCATGTGGTGGCAGGGCGGGGAGGTCACAGGGCTCCATGATTGTGGGGCAGCTTCAAGGGCACATGGGGCGGAGGGCCTTGGAGGTCCCCTCCTCAGTAGGGGATGTCATTCTGATAGTACTGGATCATGTCGTAGGTCCGGCTCCTAAAAGGCCAAGAAGAGTGAAGGGAGATGTGAGGAGTCAGCAGGGTCTGACGTCCCTCCCCAGCAGGGAGCCCTCGCTGTCCAATCAGCCCCTCATGGCTGCCCAGCACCTGAAGGCACAAATGTCTCAGGCGTGCCCTCCCCCACCCAGTGACCACATCTCCTGCTCCAACCCGGGGGCCTCCAAGGCCACCTCATGCTCCTCAGCCAAACCGCTTCCATCTGTGGGAGCCACTGCTCTGCCACATGGGCCTCGGGGCCCTTGGCTCGTCCTGGCCAGATGCCCCCAAGGGGTCTGTATGCTCTCCTCGCACCTCTGGAGAGCCCCTTCTCGCCCTGCCCCAGCCCCTCTTGAAGTCCTGGCCACCTGGTTTCTCTGCTTCCTCTCAGCAAGAGCTCCTTCCGTGCCCAGTCTCCACACTGCCCTTGTTAGGGCGCTGGACCCGGGCGCCACCTGGGGGCAGGTCTCAGCTTCCTCTCACACTCCTCCGGCCGGCAGTTCCCCACGCAGATGGCCATGCCTGGGCCCCTCATCCTAGTCGGGATGTGGCCTGTCCCATGGCACAGCCTTGGGCCCCCACATGCCCCTGAGGGCCTTACTAACCCCACATGTGTAAGTGCTGCCCCCTTCGGGGATGGCTCACCTGCTGGGCTCACCATCCTCCCTTTGTTCAGGCTGGACCCCTCAAAGCCGCCTCTGATTCCCACAGCGGGGAGCCTGTCAGCCTGGTGCTCCGCCTTTGGACCCTGAGCCAGCCCTCTCCAGGGCCTCCTGCACCCAGCTACTCCCACCACAGTAGTGACCAGCAGCCCGGCTTGCACTTCCAGTCACTGCCCACAAAGCAGCCTGAGGCAGGCACAGGGAAGGAGTGAGGTCTGACTCCTCAGCCCTCCTGGGAGGAGGGAGGCCTGACACCACATTCAGTTCTACTACTGGCCTTGTGCCTCCACTGCTCCCTTGGCCTCACAAGCCCTGGCCAGTTGGGCCCAGCCTCTGGCCTCTGCCAAGTGTTCCCCTCAGCACACCACAGCCCCCTAAACCAGTGCCCCACTGCTCCTCAAGAGCTCCTGTCAAGGCTTGGGTCTTCATGAGAGGGGCGGCTCGGGGACAGCAGAATCCTCATCTCCTGGTGCAGGAAAGGCCCTGCAGGTGCCCAGGGGCCACTGAGGCAGGGGGTGAAGGCAGGAGGGCGGGGGACTCACCTGTTGCTGAGGAAGCAGCTCTGGATGACCTTCATGATGAAATTTGCAGCCTCGCGCTCGGTCATGTTGGGGCTAAACCTGTGCCTGGGGGAGAGGCTGTGTCAGGGCTGCCATGGGTAGGGCCGTGCTGGCTCCCTGGCCCAGTGGGAGGAGCGTCTTCCATGGGGACGGACTTCAGCTGAGAGTCATGCCCTGGAAATGTACCTCTGGGGCCCATGTTGGAAGATGGGGTGCTGTGAAGGCCACGCCTGGCTTACTGTGGGCCTTGTCCCCTTCCCAGCATAACCTGAGTGCTCCCATGGCATTAGGGGACTAAGCATTGGGGAGCTAAGCTACTGCAGCCCTAGACCTTAGGGTCAAGGTGGGGTGGGCGTAGCATCCGTGACATAATAGAGGCCCCTGGGTGGGTCCTTGGTGTGGCCAGCACAAGCAGGGGCCCCTCACAAGCGTGGTCTAGGGACAGAGTGTCACCCAGGAACCCTGTCTGCGCTGAGGTTCCAAGGAGATGACAACCACACTGACAATTACACAAAAGCTTCCTATCTTGGATGGAGCCTCAGCTAATGGACAACTGTCCCCCAGATGGCCTGCGTGTCCACCAAGGAACCTACTTCAAGAGCTTGATCGTCTGGCCGCGAAAACAGGGCAGGCCCGTGTCCAACATGAGAGTGACCAGGGAGACGACCGCGTCCATGTAGGGCCTGGGGAGAGATAGGAGGGAGCGGTGGGCTGAGGCCAGCCTAGGTGATGGCCCTGCCTGTAGTCCTATGGCCTGGCTGATGCCAACAGCCTCAGGTGTGGGCTCCTGCCACCCACCTCCCCGCCACATCTTCTACATCTCTGAGGCAACTTTCAATCTGCTGCACTTGGCAACCTGTACCACCCAGGCAAGGACTGCCCACGTGCACTCTAGACAGGCTGAGTGTCCTGCCCTGTCCCCCACATCAGGCTGCCGGCCATGGCTTCTGCACCTGGGTGGGACGCAGACACTCTGACCTGACTTTCCCTGCAGGGCAGTGCGGACAAACCCAGGTTGGATTGTGGCCTTGGCCAAGTGACCTGTATATGAAACTGGGACGAAGCCCATCTCTGGCATGTAGCCTGTGAGGTGGCAGGTGCTCAGGCTTTGGTGACAGGGTGGATGGGATGCCCAGAAAGGGGGAGCCCATGGCTGAAGGCATGGATCCCCAGGATCCTGCATCCTGGGGAAGGTAGCTGGAATTAGATGCCCAGAGCAAGAATTTACTGGCACGGGTGGGCAGACAGAGGTGACCAAAGGACAGGCATAGGTCAGCAGGTGGCTGCTAGCAACTACCTCACTCTCTGGAACCTGATCCCCTTCTAAAGGGGACCTCAGAACGTTCCCCACACGCCCTCTGCCTCCACCCTGGCCCTCACCCAGGCTCACCGCACAGCCAGGTAGCCGCGCACACACATCTCCATGAACCACTTGAAGGGCGTGGCCTCCATCTTGCCCCCCATGATCATCACCATCTCATCCGTCAGCTTAATGTCGGGTTCCCAGCCAAGATTGCCACCGGGCGAGCTTTCAAACATGAAGCCAAAGTCTGCAAAACCCCAAAGAGCTGCCTGTGACTGGGCTAGGAGCCAGGGCAGGCAGGGACAAGTGGTCTGTTTTGAGGAGGAGAAAAGGACTGCAACAGCAGCATCCCCTCCACCCCCAATAGGCAGGTTGTGTTTTCTTGGGGACAGTGATAGGGTGGGTGGTGGAGCAGCAGGCAGAGGAAGAGAAGGAAGAAAGTGGAGGCAGGAGTGAGCCAGGCTGGGGCACTGAACTTGGATAAGCCCCACTCCGCCTAGCTCCAGCTTCTGACTCAGAGCAATGGCTGCTCTCACCCCAGCTCCTTGGAGCCGGGGCCAGGCACCCTCCACAGCAGAACAGCTTGGTGGCTGACAGTTCGGACCTCAGAACTGGACCCTGACACTCCTGGCAGGGTGGTCCTGGGCATGCTTCCCTCTGTGGGATGGGGATCCCTAGCCTCCCCTGGGTGCCAGGGGTGAAGGGAGAGGAGGGTGGCACTGTGGCTGGCTGACCGATGTGGATGATATGGCCCTTCTTGTCCAGCATAATGTTGCCGTTGTGTCTGTCCTTGATCTGCAGCAGGAACAGCAGGAGGCTATAGGCGGCCATGCTTCGGATGAAGTTGTAGCGGGCCTGTGCAGAGAGCGCCCTGGGCTCACAGAGGCCCTGGGGCCTGTGGGCACCCTCCCTGGTCCTACACCCAGGATCCCTGGGCCTGTGGGCACTCTCCCTGGCTCTGTGACCCCACTGTGGAGGCAGAGCCCGAATCAGCAAGCCAGTCTTTGGCAGCAGGAGTGACGGGGCTGTCTGTGGATGTGGGGGTGTAGATGCTTCCTCCCACACCCAGAACTTAACTTTCTTCTGAGGAGTCCAGCCCAGCTCTACATTCTTTTGACTCCCAAAGTGGCTTACAGATGCTCTGGTGTTTTTTTTTTTTGAAATGGAGTCTCACTCTGTCACCAGGCTGGAGTGCAGTGGGGCGATCTTGGCTCACTGCAATCTCTGCTTCCTGGGTTCAAGCGATTCTCCTGCTCCAGCCTCCCAAGTAGCTGGGACTACAGGTGCCCACCACCATGCCCAGCTAATTTTTTTATTTTTAGTAGAGATGGGGTTTCACCATCTTGGCCAGGATGGTTTCGATCTCTTGACCTCATGATCCGCCTGCCTTGGCCTCCCAAAGTACTGGGATTACAGGCATGAGCCACCACACCCGGCCCAGGTGCCCAGGTTTTAACCCTTAACAAAGGATGACTGAGGAGAGCAGGGTGTGAGTGGAGGCTGGGGTGGAGTGGAGCGCACATGCACCTGCCCACCCCAGGCTGTGGCTGCCCTGGCTACCTGCTGGAAGGCCAGGGTGGACTCGTCCCCGTACTGGCGTGTGAAGTAGTCGTACATGCCGAAGTCTGTCTGGCGGCCCAGCTGGTCCCGGGAGGTGCAGTCGGGGATGCACTCGATCACCCCGCACTAGGGAGGAAAGGCCAGTTCTGAGCCCGCCGGGTGTGAGGTGCCCAGGGCTGCCCTACTGGCTCCACTCAGGGAACTTACCCCAGGGGCAGTGGCCACCACGCGGTAGGGAAAAACAAAGAGGTCCAGGCCGACCAGCTGGAAGATGTTCTTGAAGAGGTCGATGATCTGCAGGGCCAGCATGTCCTGGGAAGCCGGGACGTGCGGGATGCGGTCAGCTGGCCATGCACCCCAGCACCTCTTCTGGCTCATGCAGGGCAGAGGCCAAGCACCCAGAGATGGAGTGAGGTGGGGAGGCCACAGCTGAGCAAGTCTGGAAGGCCTTGCCTTCTGACCATCAGGGGCTGGACTCAGGCTGCTGGGACCACCAGGTCCTGGGCCGAGCATGAGGCTGAGCTGTCTGGTGGGGTGTGTGAGATAGGGCACCCAACCCCTGGGCAGTTCCCTCAGGTGGGCACTGGCGGAGACAGTGGGAGAAGGGCTGGAAGGAGAGGCCTCTGGGTTTTGCAGAAGCCCTAATTTACCCCATGGCACCTGAACCATATAAGAGGAGGCAAAGATTCACATTTCTGCATATGAGATTGGACTCTGGCCAGCCTGGAGCCTTGGGGAGCAGCAAGCCCAGCCCCTAAGCCTAGCCTAGGCCTGACCCTGCTTACCTGCCGGCAGTCGTCCCCCACTTTGAAGATGGCTGCCTGCCAGGAGATCTTCTGGCCGTCGGCCTCCTGCGCGCTGCACTCATCCTCGGAGTCTGAGCGGCACCGCAGACCTGCCCACAGGGAGAGAGGCTATTGTCAGCCTGTAGGCAGTGAGAAGCCCTCTAAGGGAGCCAGGGGTAAGTCTTCTCCCATGCCTGAAAGAAACCCCAGCAATCTTGGGGATCACTTCTTCAAAGCCCCAGGGAGGCCAAGAAGGAGCCCAACAGTGTGGGCGGCAAGTCACTCAGGTGCCGAAGCAAGAGACCGAGGGCACGAGCTGTTCCAGTATATTATATAAAATAACAAGTTATAGAGATATAAATCATAGATACAATTATATATATCATTAATCATTAGTTTGTAGCAATGACTCTTTATTCCAATATTATAATAATCTTTGCTCTACAATTATAACCTAGGAGAAACCAGGCCATACAGAGACAGGAGCTGAAGGGGCACGGTGAGAAGTGACCAGAAGACAAGTGTGAGCCCTCTGTTAAGCCCGGACACGGCCACTAGAAGGCTCCTTGGTCTAGTGGTAACGTCAGCCTCTGGGAAGGCGCCCGTTACCTAGCGGACCGTGGTCTAGTAGTAGGAAAAGCACCCGCTACTTAGCAGACCGGGAATGGGAGTCTCCCTTTCCCCAGGGGAGTTAGAGAAGACTCTGCTCCACCACCTCTTGTGGAGGGCCCGACATCAGTCAGGCCCACTCACAGTTATCCGGAGGCCTAACCGTCTCCCTGTGATGCTGTGCTTCAGCGGTCCACGCTCCTGGTCCGCCTCCATGTTCCACCCTGTACACCTGGCTCCGCCCTCTAGATAGCAGTAGCAAAATTAGTGAAAGTATTAAAGTCTTTGATCTTTCTGAAAAGAGCATAGAAGAAATAATGACGTAAGCTGTCCTGTTTCCACCTCAGCTACCTAACAGGGAAAGGCCCCCTGTCCGGTGGGCACGTGACTCACGCGACCTTATCAATCATTAGAGATGACTCACACTCTTTACCCTGCCCCTTTTGCCTTGTATACAATAAATAACAGTGCAGCCTGGCGCGCCACTACCAGTCTCCGCGTCTTGGTAGTAGTGGTCCCCCGGGCCCAGCTGTCTTTTATCTCTTTGTCTTATGTCTTTATTTCTATGATCTCTCGTTTCCGCACATGGGGAGAAAAACCCACCGACCCTGTGGGGTTGGTCCCTACACAACAGGGCTCAAGGAAAGCCTTGGAATAGCAAGTGGAATCCAGGGTCGGAGTCTAAGAACATTTAGGCTTAAATGGAACTAAAAACAGAGCCCCATTTCATCTGCAGTGAAGACCCAGGTATGCCTGGGTCAGTGTTGGGTGCTGTGAGCTGGGGGGCAGGAGGAATGTGTCTGTACACTGGGGTCCTGGGAGGGCTCGGGGCCAGTGTGCGGACATGGCCATGGGAGGTAGGTCCCTGCAAGGGGTGGTGGCACCCTCTGCACAGCTGGCCACACTGTCTGTACTGGATTGAAGAGTGTCTCCCTAAAATTCATGTTCACCCCAAACCTTAGAATGTGTCCTTATTTGGAAACAAGGTCTTTGCAGATGTAATTAGGTTAAGACAAGGTCACAGTGGATCAGGATGGGCCCTAATCCAATGACTGACGTCCTTCAAGGGAGATCATCATGTGAAGAGGGAGGCGGAGATGGAAGTGGAGCATCTGCAGGCCAAAGTGTGCCCAGGACTGCCGGCAACACCACCAGAAACTGAGGCGGCAAGGCAGGACCTGCCCAGAGCCTTCAGAGGGGGCACGGCCCTGATGACACCGCGATGGTGGACTCCAGCCTCCAGAACTGATTGTCTGCACAGCAGCCGTCAGAAACTAACACCCCACAATGGCCCTGGGCCCCTCAGCCTCAGGCAGGAGCCTGCTGGAGTATGCCAGCTGACTCACGGCAGACAGACCTCTAGGGGTGGCACATCTGTCACTGCACTTGAGCTCCATGCCATCCCCCAATGAGGGGTCTGACTTGAGTGAGGGCAGACAGATGGACAGACATCATCTTTTATGGAGAGCTGGTACTAAATTAAATACATGCCGAAAGAAACTGGCATTAGCAAGGAATAGCACTGAGCTCCCAAACAAAACCAGGGATCTTTACTGACCTTCTTTTTCAAGTTCGCTAACTCCACATCGCTTCACCTTGAACTTGGCCAGATATGGGGCTTTTGCAGCACTGAAAACAGAAAGAATGTGGCACCCATGAGGTAGCCGAGAAAAACTGCATACGAGGATGCTGCGGAAGTGGGGGAAGGGCAGGGCGAGGCGCCCACCTCTGCATCGGGGTCCCAGACTTGTAGTCGATGTCCAGCACGATGGCCTCCGGGTTGCTGGGCAAGTAGCAGCCTGTGCAGGGACAGAGGCAGTCACAGGGAGTGCACGTGTCACCAAGGTGAGGCCAGTGTCAGTTTCCAACACGGATGTTAGGTGCGAATCCACCCTGCAGGCACACCCCACCCCTGTGGAGGGCCTCTGGTCCTTGTCCAGGGCACCACTAACTTATTATTCTGCGGCCACTAAGGGTCTGTCCTCCCTGACTCTTCGACTCTTCCAGCCATTGACCAAATGAGTCAGAACCTTCCGGGACACGCTCTTGCTGGAGGAGCACTGAGCCCCATCCTCATGGATGCAGCCCTACTGCTTCTGGGGGCGCGTGTGAAGCCTGTCCTGCCTCCACCTGCCTGAGCAACCCTCCGAACAGCCCTCCATTCTTTTTTTTTTTTTTTTTTGGAGACGGAGTCTCGCTCTGTCGCCCAGGCTGGAGTGCGGTGGCCGGATCTCAGCTCACTGCAAGCTCCGCCTCCCGGGTCTACGCCATTCTCCTGCCTCAGCCTCCCGAGTAGCTGGGACTACAGGCGCCAGCCACCTCGCCCAGCTAGTTTTTTGTATTTTTTAGTAGAGACGGGGTTTCACTGTGGTTAAGCCGAGGAATTGGTCCCTCGTCCGTCCTGAACCATCATGACTCCGCCCGCTTCGCGCGCCGGCCTCCCAAAGTGCTGGGAATTACAGGCTTGAGCACCGCGCCGGCCAGGCCTCCCATTCTTGGAGTCCCCCTTTTTTTTTTTGGATAGAGTCCTTCGCTCTGTACCCGCGGCGTGAGTGCAGTGGTATGATCTTGGCTCACGGCCACCTCGGGCCTCCTGGTGGTTTCAAGCGATTCGCCTGCCTCAGCCCCTCGAGTAGCTGGGATTACAGGCGCGCCCGGCGACTTGTGCCCAGCTAATTTTGTACTCTTAGTACAGACAGGTTTCACCATGTTGGCCAGGGCTGGTCTGGAACCATCCTTACCTCAGGTTGATCCACCCCAACCTCAGCTCCAAGTGCTGGATTAGGCGTGAGGCCACACGCCCGGCCAACCCAATTGGTTTCTTTAATGCTTTTTTTAGTATCTTTGTGAGTTCAGCTTCTTCAGCTCAGGGTCATTCCTTACCTCATCTTTTTAACCAGCCACAATACCATAAAGTCATTGCTTTTCTTTTCTTGTTTTTTTTTTGAGACAGATTCCACCTCTGTCACCCAGGCTGGGGATGGCAGTGGCACAACTCGACTCACTGCAAACCCGCCTCCAGGTTCCACGTCATTTCTCCTCGCCTCAGCCTCCCGAGGTAGCCTGGGACTACAGGCGCCGCCACCTCGCCGCTAGTTGTTTTTTTGTATTTTAGTAAGACGAACGGGGTTTTCCCCGTGTTAGCCAGGATGGTCTCGATCTCCTGACCTCGTGATCCACCCGTCTTGGCCTCCCAAAGTGCTGGGATTACAGGCTTGAGCCACCGCGCCTGGCCCCATCTTCTCTTGAAAAGCTCAGCCTTAACCACACTGGGCTTGAATTGCCACGTGGCCACAGCCACAGGCACCCAGGAGTGGCTTCCTATGGGAGGCGGGGGGTGCTGATGGGTCCCAGTGCACATGAGCCGTCCCACACTAGCCCCGCCTGTGTGACCTGCTCCTGTAATGCTGGCGCCCAGGAACCCTCTTCTAGAGTAACAGCTACTGAGGTCAGTGTCAGCCTCCAGAAAAACAGCAGGCAGCAAGGAAGATGAAGGGTACCCACGGACGAGCAGCTCCCGCTCACTAGGGGCAGATTCTGGGGAGCGGCTGGGGTCTTGGGGCACCAGGCACCATGGGCCCAAGCAGGTGTGGGGCTGGCCAAGCTACTGTGTCCACACCCTGCAATGCCTGGAGAGGGCAGCAGCCTTCACGCCCCACGGCCCACCCGCAGGAAGAGGTTGGTCTGAGCCTTCAGAAGCCACCTGCTCACCCGGCTGCACCTTCACTTCAGACAGGGCCGACAGACAAGCCTTCTTTCTCTCGTCGCCTTTAGGGTAGGGCCTGAGAAACAGGAAAGAAATGCTTGGTCTCCTGGAGGAACTGGCTGCTGGGGGACAGCCCAGGGCCCCTCCTGCCTGGATTACCCTCTCTGTCCCTCTCTTCCCGGCTCTAGCTGCTCCTAGGGCAGCCAGGCACCACTGGCAGTGATTCTTGCTTTGCATTCCTTGTGGAGAATCCCCGACAGCCCCCAAGGGCAGTTTTCTGGCAGACTCTGCCCCTGCTGTGTGGGGGTGTGTGTGGCTGGGGGGGGGGGTGGGGGTAATGCCTGCCACCTGCTGCCACCCAGGAAACGCTAGATCTGGTCCTTTATCTTGTGGGTTAGAAGCTGCCAGCACTGCTATTCTCAGCACCCAGCCCAGAAAAGGGTCTCAAACTGACCAAGGTCAGAGCAGCGTAAGCACTGGAGACAGCCCGGCTAGCGTGCCCAGCATTGAAGACTCCAGGGTTTCATCCCTTATGAATGGGCAAAGCCAACAACATCCAAGGATGGTGTCAGGTCCACACGAATGGAAGGTCCAGGAAAACGATGACGGGAGCTACAAAGGCAGTCTGGTGTTCCTGACATCATGAGGATCGATCCTTCAGAGTGTGGAGAGGGCAAGGTGGCCTCACATTGTGGAGCTATATGCTAAATTCTACAAACCTTAGGAACGAAACTAAGCTGTGTTTCCTGAAACTGGCGTGGCCATGCATTCTGCCATGCCTTCAAGAGCCTTGACTCACCCCAAGCAGTGCTTCCCCACCCACCCTGGCTGTCCATCAGAACCAGCAGTGGCCCCGTTGCTAGAGACTACTCTCATTCATCTGGTTGGGGCCAGGCATGGGCATTTTTAAAGCTTCCCAGGCATTTCTGTTAAGCTGCAGGGACTGGAACGAGACATCCCAGAAGGCGGTTTCTGAAGCACTGCACTTACTTGATGATAGCCGACACATTGGTGATCTTGTTAAAGAAATCAAACTCCCGCTGGTAAAAGTCCTTCGCTGGGCCCGACAAGGAGCCTGTGATCTCCTCTACTAACTGCTCCAGGAGGTCGCCGATGTCAGCTGCCAAGGAAACAGACGCTGAGTCTCTGTGGCTGCGGAAGAGGCCCCTCAGGAATACCAGCGCTGTTTCCCAGCCCCTAGACGGGCAGTGCCCACTGTGTGCTCTGCAGGCTTGGTGAGACCGTAACACCTGCCATGCGCCCCTTCTGCTGTGTTGACACAGCTGACGCTGGTGGGAAAAGCTGCTGGTGCCTAAGCAGAGCTCAAGGCAGGGGCCAAGCGCACAACTGAGCGTGGAATCCTCACTGCTACACACCCAGTAAGAAAAAAGCCCATATCATTTATGAATGTCACAGGTGAAGCAATGAGAATTAATTTTTATTAAACTCTACCCTGAATACATGTTTTTTTGTTTTTGTTGTTAAATAGAGGCACACAGTGGGCGGGGCTCTATTAAATAGTGCCTCTCGCAATTCAAATCCCAGGCTGAATTTAAATTCCTGGGCTCAAGAGATCCTCCTGCCTCAGCCACCTGAGTTGCTGGGACTATAGCTAGTAGGTGGGACTACAGGTACGCATCACCACACCTGGCTTTTAAAGTATCCTTTGTGATGAAATGGGATGTGCATCTAAGGCAGGCGCTGTCCTGAGACGCACTTGGAGCTTGTCTGATTTTGGAGCCTGGACTAACCTTTTTCACAGACCTTGGTTTTTACTTGAAAAAATGACTGACAGACAACATATAGTTATTCAGACTGAGGGATGTGGCAGATGTTTTCCTGAAAATGAACAAAAAATGAATCTTCCACTCAAAGGAACAACTGAAACATTTTTTGGAAAACTTGGATCTGCCACTGTGAGCTCAAAAGCTTCCCTTAAAACCCTTTCTGATAAGACTGGCAGCATGTGAACAAATGATTTTTCCACATTGCATAAAGAAATACATCAACCTTTGAAAGATGTGCATAACTCACTGGCCTGTATTTTATAAATGCCCACTGTTTGATGTCATAAAAGCTGTCATGGGTCCAGGTGTGAAGCAGACCAATGGACTTGAACAAAACACAGCGTGAGAAGTTTACTGCCAAATTTAAGATGCCACACTGCAATTAACCTTTTTTTTTGGCGATCCTCCTGCCTTGGCCTCCCAAAGTGTTGGGATTACAAGTGTGAGCCACTGTGCCTGACCTGCAATTGGCTGAGCTACAAAAAATTAAAAATTAGCCAGTCGTGGTGGCATGCACCTACAGTCTCAGCTACTTGGGACGATGAGGCAGGAGGATCGCTTAAGCCCGGGTGGTTAAGGCTGCAGTGAGCCGTGATTACACCACTGCACTCCTGCCTGGGAGAGGGACCCTGCCTCTAAAAAAAGAAAACAAAAACTACCACTTGTCAAGTGTGGTGCAGTATCAAAAAGGATCTCCACAATGACCTGAAAGATTACTAACATACAACTTCCTTTTTCAAGTACATTCACTTCAACTGAAACAATGCTGCAATAGATCAACTGCAGAAGTGGAACGGAAATGAGAATCCAGCCATCTCCTACAAGGCAATGCCACTCTTTTGGCTCATTTTTGAGTTTTGGGGGGAAAGTTATTTTCCCAAAAAGATGTTATTTATGTTAACATGTAATGAATGAGCTTACATTTTCTGAAATTCTGTGTTAATCTCTAATCCTCCTTAACATTGACAGCTAATGCTCACATGAACCAGCGCTCTTTGAGGACCTCAATACTCATTTCTGACAGTGCAAGGGTCCTGAGGGTGTGCTATTTGGGAACCGCTGCCCTGGGCTGGCGGCCCCTTTCTCACACGCAGTCACAGTTGTGTTGAGCATGGAGACTCTGGAGAAGCAGCCATCGGAGCAGAAGGGTCTCACTCGCACTTGGGAGTGCAGGCTGGCATTGGACAGCAGGTTAGCAAAGGCGACATGAAGGAATGGTCCTGCTCCCATGTGTGCTGAAAGGTGAGAAGTGCCCTAGCAAAGGGTGGGACTGGAGGGGTCAGTGAGCTGCGGCAGTGCAGGCTGGGGAGAGCCCTGTGGGCTGTAGAAGGTGCTTGGCAGTGCACTGAAGACAGAAAGTGAGGCCTGTGGGAGGACAAAATACTCACGGTCTTTCTGGTGGCCTTCTTCGTCTAGATAAATGTTAGTCTTCATGTTCCAGATGAACTGGTGCGCCAGAAGCTGGGATTTAGACGCTGCCCACAGAATATACTCCCGCACATAGCCCATCTGCAGGAGAGCAAGGTCCCTGTCAGCCAGGCTCGGAGGGCCCTCTCCACGAGGAGGGCCTTGTCAGTAGCTGCTGACTCCCGGCATTTGGAAGGCCAGGAAAGAGTGAGGCCCAGCGGTTCTAGTGGTGTGGCCAAGCTCTCCAGGATTGGTGGCGAGTCCAGCTGGTGGCCAGGTCAAGTTCCAGCCGGCTGGTGGCTGGGACCTGAGGGGCAGGGGTGCAAAACGGGCTTCAGTCAACCTTTGTCTCCTCTGTGTCTTCCCATGGGTTTAAGAAGCACAACTCTCAAACCAATTTCTGGGGTTGTCAAGTACGAGAAAAAGCAGGCTGGGTACTAAAAACTCACTTGTTAGCTGGTTGTTTAGAACAATGTTCCAAAGTGACAGACAGGTTCCAGAAACATGCAGATACACCTCCTTCACAAGTTGACACATTGATATGATTAGGCTTTGTGTCCCCACCCAAATCTCATCTTGAATTGTAATCCTCAGGTGTTGAGGAAGAGACCTGGTGGGAGGTGACTGGATCAGGGGGACGGTTCCCCCATGCTGATCTCATGACAGTGAGTGAGTTCTCAGAAGATCTGACGGTTTTATAAATGTTTGACAGTTCCTCCTACACACACACTTTCTTTCGCTTGCTGCCAGGTAAGATGGACCTACTTCCCTTTCTACCATGATTCTGTTTCCTGAGGCCTCCCTAGCCATGTGGAACTGTGAGTCCATTAAGCCTCCTTTCTTTATAAATAAACCAGTCTCGGGAAGTTCTTTTTTTTGAGACATAGTCTTACTCTGTCACCCAGGCTGGAGTGCACTGGCGCCATCTCAGCTCACTGCAACCTCCACCTCCCAGGTTCAAGCGATTCTCCTGCCTCAGCCTCCTGAGTAGCTGGGATTACAGACGCACGCCACCATGTCTGGCTAATTTTTGTATTTTTAGTAGAGACAGGGTTTCGCCATGTTGGTCGGGCTGGTCTTGAACTCCTCACTTCAGGTGATCACCCCCCTTGGCCTCCCAAAGTGTGGGAATTACAGGCATGAGCCACTGCACTCGGCCAGGAAGTTCTTTATAGCAGTGTGAAAATGGACTAATATACACATCTACGGTCACCAACCTAAGGATCTCTCCTCCTCTTCCTTCTTGGTCATTTTCCGCCACTCACAGTAGTAACTCCAGTTTTTCTTTTTAATTACAAAATTTTTTTTTGTTTGTTCCTAGAGCCGTAAGTTTCAAAACTCCAGTTTTAATTCCATGCCCTAGGTTTAAAAAGGTGAGCTGGCCTTTCTGGGTAGCCTCCTGGAGTCTATGGACATTGATCTGGTGAAGTACCCCCTTGGATGGACATTTGTGACCTGGGTGAGGGGGGGTGGTCTTACCACACAGGCAGAAGTCCTCGCTTTGGGTTTCCCAATTCTAACCCAGAAAATGCATCTAAAGATAAACTATGAATGTTCAATGTGTAGTGCTTTTTAAATATAAGTTTGCTTTATAATTGTGTAAACAATGACAGAGTTCCAAAGTCAAAATTATTAAATATGGTACATATCTGTTATTTCCATCCTGATCTCTCCCTCTTTGGCCATTTTTATTAACTTTTGATTTACTGTTCCCTTTTTTTTTTTTGTTTTTTTGTTTTGAGACGGAGTTTGTTTTTTTTTTTTTTTGGTGAGATGGAGTCTCGCTCTGTTGCCCAGGCTGGAGTGCAGTGGCGCATCTCAGCTTGCTGCAAGCTCCGCCTCCTGGGTTCACACCATTCTCCTGCCTCAGTCTCCCGAGTGGCTGGGACTACAGGCGCCCGCCACCACACCCGGCTAATTTTTTTTTTTTTGTATTTTTAGTAGAGATGGGGTTTCACCATGTTAGCCAGGATGGTCTCCATCTCCTGACCTTGTGATCCGCCCGCCTTGGCCTCCCAAAGTGCTGGGATTACAGGCGTGAGCCACCGCGCCTGGCCTACTGCTCCTTTTTTTCAAAAAAAGTATAAACAAATATGTATATACATTTGTATTGCCACAAGTGATATAAATTTTTTTAAACTTAAAAAAAATTCCAGGCCAGGGATGGTGGCACACACCTGTAATCCCAGCACTTTGGGAGGCCGAGGCAGGTGGATCACCTGAGGTCAGGAGTTCAAGACCAGCCTGGCAAACATGGCGAAACCCTGCCTCTACTAAAAATACAAAAATTAGCCAGGTGTGGTAATGCACGCCTGTAATCCCAGCTACTTGGGAGGCTGGGGCAGAAAAATCACTTGAACCTGGGAGGTGGGGGTTGCAGTGAGCCGAGATTGTGCCACTGCACTCTAGACTAGGCAACAGACTCTGTCTCAATAAATAAATAAATAATAACAATTATTATTATTTTGAGACCGAGTGTCACTCTGTAGCCCAGGCTGGAGTGCAGTGGCGCAATCTCGGCTTACTGCAAGCTCCACCTCCCAGGTTCATGCCATTCTCCTGCCTTAGCCTCCCTTGGTAGCTAGGACTACAGGCGCTCACCATCACGCCCAGCTAATATTTTCTATTTTTAGTAGAGACAGGGCTTCACCCTGTTAGCCAGGATGGTCTCGATCTCCTGACCTCGTGATCCGCCCACCTCGGCCTCCTAAAGTGCTGGGATTACAGGAGTGAGCCACCGTGCCTGGCCATTAATTAATTAATTAAAAAAATTAACCGGGTGTGGTGGCACATGCCTGTAATCCCAGCTACTTGGGAGGCTGAGGTAGGAGAATTGCTTGAACCCAGGAGGTAGAGGTTACAGTGAGCTGAGATCACGCCACTGCACTCCAGCCTGGACAACAAGAGTGAAACTCTGTCTAAAAAAAAAATATTTATTTTTATATATATATATATACCAGCTGAGTGTAGTGGCTCATGCCTGTAATCCTAGCACTATAGGAGGCCAAGGCGGGTGAATCACCTGAGGTCAGGAGTTTGAGACCAGCATGGCCAACATGGTGAAACTCCATCTCTACTAAGAATACAAAAAATAAGCCAGGCATGGTGGCATGCACCTTCAATCCCAGCTACTTGGGAGGCTGAGGCAGGAGAACTGCTTGAATCTGGGAGGCAGAGGCTGCAATGAGCCGAGAGTGCCACTGCACTCCAGCCTGAGCAACAGAGAGAGACTCTGTCTCAAAAAAAAAAAAAAAAAAAAAAAAAAATCCCTAAAAATGGACAGCAAGAAAGAAACCAGGGAAACTCGCTGAGTCCTGAGTTGGTACAACCAGACACAGAAGAATTGTTTCAGGCAGCCTTTCTCTGGTAGCCACCACCAAGAGTTCACACAGAGGCCCTGGGCACTGGCTCCCCTCCCCACTGCCTCTGGACCTAACCCTTATGCTAGGCCTGTATGGAAGCAGAGAGCCAAGCAGTCAAGGGAAAATAATGTGGGAGGGGAGCCAGGGGGAAGGAAACAGGTCCCTGAAGAGAAGGTGCCTCATGACAATCCTGTAAGTTGCCACCAGTGTGAAGGCTCCAGCTTGGTGAGTGTGGCTCCACACATATCACTGCTCTGAGGTGCAGAGAGCGTGGCGCCACCTAGTGAGGGCAGTGAATGATTTCACAGGACTCAGTCTTTCAACAGAGGCTGGCTGCTGTTCTAGAAGCACTTTGGTCTACAGACTCTAGGGCTAGCCCCTGGGACACCCAGTCATGGCACTCAGCCAGCCCACAGGTGGGCCACGTGGTGAGGGCTCAGCCAGGACACATGGAGTCTGCTGCCCAATTCAGTCAGGGAAACAAGGCCAGCTCTGGGGTTGGGGAAGAGGGCAGATAAGTTGCACTCAGACACAGAGTGCAGTGGGCGGGCTGGCACGAGGGCACAGGAGGCTCAGGCTCCTGGCTGTGGTCACTCTCATGGATATTTTCTGTGCCACGACCTGTGCTGAGTACTTTATGTCCACAGACACTGTTATGGGCTGAATTATGTCCCTTCAAATTCATATGTTATAGGAGCTCAGAATGGTAATATATTTGGAGATAGGTACTTTATAGAGGTGATTAAGGTAACATGAGGTCAATAGAGTGGGTCCTAATCTAGTATGATGGGTGTACTTATAAGGGGAGATTAGGACACAGACACACAAAAGGATGACCCTGTAAGGACTCAGAGAGAAGACGGCTATCAATAAGCCAGGGAGATGGGCATGGTGGCTCAGACCTATAATGGTGGCTCAGACACTTTTGGAGGCGGAGGTGGGCAAACTGCCTGAGCTCAAGAGTTTGAGACCAGCCTGGGAAAACATAGCGAAACTCTATCTCTACAAAAAATACAAAAATTAGCTGGGTGTGGTGGCGCATACCTGCCATCCCAGTTACTTGGGAGGGGTAGCGGGTGAGGTGCTGAGGTGGGAGGATGGCTGGAGCCCGGGAGGTTGAGGCTGCAGTGAGCTGAGATCATGCCACTGCACTCTAGTCTGAGTGACACAGCGAGACCCTGTCTCTTAAAAAAAAAAAAAAAAAAAAAAAGCCAGGGAGACAGGCCTCAGAAGGAAGCAACCCTGCTCACACCTTGACCTTGGACTTCTGGCCTCCAGAATTCATGGGTTTTTTGTTTGTTTGTTTTGTTTTTTGGCCTCCACAATGCTGAGAATAGACATTTTTGTCATTTAAGCTGCCCAGTCTGTGGTGCTTCACTACGCAGCCCTGGCACACTAATGCATACGTCACCTCGTTAATCTTCCTCACCACTTCCGGCTGAAGAGAGCAGGATTCAGGGATTTGAGGTGACCCCACCAACGAGAGGGAAGCCTGGCCAGGCTGGCAACAGCCCCAGAACCGGCTCACTCCGCAGAGCATGCTTGGGCCTCAGGGTGAGGCAGTGGGTGAACATGGCTTCCCCTGGCATGGCACTGGGTATCAAGAGACAATCACAGAGGCTCGGGTAGGGGGAGCAAGGGGACTGCTGGGCAGCCCTGTCCCTGAGGAGGCTCTGAGGAGCCTGTGAGGGCCGGGGATAGACCAGGCACAGGCTGGGTGTGGAGCACACTCTGCAAGTGAAGAGGACGGCCATGCAGGTGCAAGCTTACCTTGTCGTACCTGAGGGCCTGTACGATCTGGGGGATGTAGAAGAGGATGGCGTCCTGTGGAGGAGGAGCAGAGTTGGTCATGACTTCTAAGAGCAGAGCCACCCAACCCTATGGCCCAGGTCCTGCCTCTGCTTCTGCTCTGCCCACAGCAGGGCTGAAAACTGGGGAAAGCCTGGAGGATGGCGGGCAAACAGACTGATGGCTCAGAATACAGGAATGGAGGAAACAGGTAAAAGGAGCAAGGCTCCTGCTCTACAGTGGGTGGGAGGGCCTCACGCTCCTCACTGGGCAGCCTGCCTCAGGGAAATGGTCTGCTGTGGGTCAGACTCTAGAATATTCCAGAGGCCTTTCTCCACCATCATCATAGCTGTCTCGTGGGCTCCCTGGACTCCCACAAGGAGGGAGGGACCCTCCATGGGCAAGGTCACTGTGGGGTTCCAAGACACAGCTGCACTGCCATGTGGGTTGTGCACAGCTGCCGCGCCACCTCATAATCAGACTCAAGTAAACTGTATGTCTTTAACTCGAACACCTCACTCAGGTCAAAAAACAAATGTAACTAGAGAACACATTTGAATTAGAACTAAATCCATCTTCTACAACTACTTGAACAAAAACAGGGAAAGGAACAGTATGTAATGGGGCGACCTCATGGCCAGTGGTGGGGCCTGTGCCTCTCTCCAGGTAAGATCCCTCCCAACAGTCCCACCAGAGGCCAGCTCAGCAGGGCCCTGGGCTCACCGGAGGGAAGGACCGCAGGACTTTCACCCCGTACTGCGCTGTGAGAGGGTGCGGCGGGTACATGCTGGAGAAGTAGGAGAGGCCCGTGGGTGGGTCTGTGGGTGCCCAGCACAGCACATGGCTGAGCTCCGGAGCGTCGGCGTCGATGGTGTGCCAGGTGACCAGGAACTGCGGAGGAGGTGGGGAGATGCTGTGGCTTGGGCAGTCCCGGGACCTCTGGAGATACCTGGCCCACTAGCCACACCACAAGGATGGTCATGAGAAGTGATGTTTCTAAGCATCTGTAACCATGTGGAAGATGCTTCTGATGTGTTATGGAAAACAGCGTAACTGCAATTAGGGTGAAGTGCATTACATTTTCTTCTACTGTAAACAAATAAATGCTACAGACAAGGAATAGACAACACAGGAAATCAGAAAAATCATGAATAGTACTGAAGTTGCCACGTGGCTATTTTTGTCTCATTTCCAGTTTCAGGCATTTTTGTCTCATTTCTAGTTTTGTCTCATTTCTAGTTTCAGTGCTGTTTTGTGCAGTTTGAACTCAGGCCCTGGCACATGGGCTACACTACCTTGATTGCTTCAGGCACGTCACTAACGGCTCCTGGGTCCAACCGAACGAGACGGGTCACTTCGTTCCCGATGGCTTCTGTGTTCTTAAACCTACAGGGCACAGAGGGTATGGGTGGTGCTGCCTCGCCAGGGAAACCGCGCTCTCCCACACACTAGAGGGAGGGGAGCCAGAGGGAAACGCTGAACTGGAGGGATTCACATCAATACCAAGTGACGGCTTGGGTACAAACAAATAGAAAGAATGAAGACCTGCTATTTGATAGCAGAACTGGGGGACTACAGCCAATAATAATTGTACATTGAAAAATAACTTTAAAAGAGTGTAGGCCAGGTGCGGTGGCTCATGCCTGTAATCCCAACACTTTGGGAGGCCGAGGCGGGCAAATCACAAGGTCAGATCGAGACCATCCTGGCTAACACAGTGAAACCTCGTCTCTACTAAAAATACAAAAAATTAGCCGGGTATGGTGGCGGGTGCCTGTAGTCTCAGCTACTTGGGAGGCTGAGGCAGGAGAATGGTGTGAAGCCGGGAGGCGGAGCTTGCAGTGAGCCCAGATCGTGCCACCGCAGTCCAGCCTGGGCGACAGAGCGAGACTCCGTCTCAAAAAAATAAAAAAGAGTGTAACTGGATTGTTTGTAACTCCAAGGATAAATGCTTGAGGGGATGGATACCCCATTCTCTGAGATGTGCTTATCTCACATTGCATGCCTGCATGAAAACATTCCATGCACCTCATAAATACAGACGTCTACTACATTTGCACAGAAATCTTAAAAAAAGTTTAAATAAAAAAATGGTTAGCCAGGTGACGGCTAAATGTTCTATTATGCCACTAACTAGCAGGTCTGAACATTAGTGCTTTTTTAAAAAAAAAAAAAGCATTATTATCCGCTGTGATGAAATGCTGGAACTTTCTTAAAGAAACACAAATTTTCCTCCACTTACTGTTCAAAAGGCTTCCTTTCACCATCCTTGTCCTAAATCTCCTGCCTCTTATTCCTTTTCCTACCATATCTTCCCCTGACTCTCCACAGCTACCCATCCAGTGAGTCAGTGTCTCAGTCCACAGTCCAGGGGCCACAAGGCACCTGGCCCATGAAGGGGCAGCTACTAGTTTCCAGGTGTTCCCAGCTCAGGCTAATGCAAGGCAGATGCCCCACGAGCACTGTGCTTTGAGGCAATGCAGAGCTGCTCTGCGATCCTACTCCAGAGGATCAAAGTAGGGCTGGAGGGAGGATGCAGTACACTGGCAGGTCTGGGCTCACAACGGAGAATCACCCACCCTGGACACATTCATGGGAGGCTGTGGATCATCTGGTGGAATTCTCTTTTTTTTTTTTTTTTTGAGG